AGAGGGACAAGAAGAGCAGCAAGGATTAGAAAATCTATTTGAAGAAATAATGACAGAAAACTTCCCAGATATGGGGAAGAAAAAAGTTACACAAGTACAGAGAGTCCCAGGCAAGATGAACCCCAAAAGACCCACACCAAGACACGTCATAATAACGATGGCAAATGTACAAGACAAAGAGAGAATCTTAAAGGCTGCAAGAGAGAAACAGAGAGTTACCTACAAAGGATCCCCCATCAGATTATCAAACGATTTCTCAACAGAAACACATCAGGCCAGGAAAGAATGGACAGAAATTTACAAAGTGATGCAAAGCAAAGGACTGAATCCAAGAATACTCTATCCAGCAAGGCTATCATTCAAAATTGAAGGGGAAATAAGAAGCTTCACAGACAAAAAAAGGCTAAGGGAGTTCATCACCACCAAGCCAGCAATGCAAGAAATGCTAAAGGGACTGGTGTAAAAAGAAGAAATAAAAAGCCCAGAAAGAAAACAGCCACACAAAAAAAGAAATGGCTACAAACAAGTACCTTTCAATAATAACTTTAAACGTAAATGGACTAAATGGTCCAATCAAAAGACATCGAGTGGCTGAATGGATAAAAAAACATGACCCATACATTTGCTGTCTACAAGAGACCCACCTCATTAAAAGGGACTCACACAGACTGAAAGTGAAGGGATGGAAAAATATCTTTCAGGCAAATGGAAATGAAAAAAAAGCTGGGGTAGCAATACTTATATCCGACAAAATAGACCTCAAAGTGAAGGCCATAACAAGAGATAAGGAAGGCCACTTCATAATACTAAAGGGATCAATACAACAAGAGGATATAACCCTGATAAACATATATGCACCCAATGCAGGAGCACCCACATACATAAGAAAACTCCTGGAAGACATCAGGGGAGAGATCGACAACAATACAATCATAGTAGGGGACTTTAATACACCACTGACATCACTGGATAAATCTGCTAGACAAAAAATCAGCAAAGAAACAGCAATCCTAAATGACTCACTAGATCAGATGGACTTAATTGACATCTTCAGAACACTTCACCCCAAAGCAACAAAATATACGTTCTTCTCAAGTGCTCATGGGACATCTTCAAAAATAGACCACATATTGGGTCACAAACAAAGTCTCCCCAAATTCAAGAAGATTGAAATCATACCAAGCATCTTCTCAGACCACAAGGGCATAATATTAGAAATAAACTACAATAAAAACAACCCAAAATACTCAAACACTTGGAAGCTGAATAGCATGTTATTAAATATTGATTGGGTTACCAATGAGATCAAAGAAGAAATTAAAAACATCCTGGAAACTAATGACAATGAAAACACAACAATCCAAAACCTTTGGGACACAATGAAAGCAGTCCTGAGAGGGAAGTTTATAGCTCTACAGGCCTACCTCAACAAACAAGAAAAAATGGTAGTAAATCATCTAAATCTACAGCTCAAAGAATTAGAAAGAGAGCAACAAGAAAAGCCCAGAGTGAGCAGAAGGAAGGAGATAATAAAGATTAGAGCAGAAATAAATGACATAGAGACCAAAAAAACAATACAGAAAATCAATGAAACCAAGAGCTGGTTCTTTGAAAGGATAAACAAGATCGACAAACCTCTAGCCAGGCTCACCAAAAAGCAAAGAGAGAGGACCCAAATAAACCAAATCAGAAATGATAGAGGCGAAATAACAACAGACCCCACAGAAATACAAATGATTGTTAAAAAATACTATGAACAACTCTACTCCAACAAACTAGACAACCTGGAGGAAATGGACATATTTCTAGAAAAATACAACATTCCAAAACTTAATCAGGAAGAATCTAAAAATCTCAACAGGCCAATAACTATGGAAGAAATTGAAGCAGTCATCAGAAAGCTTCCAGCAAACAAAAGCCCAGGACCAGACGGCTTCACAGGGGAGTTTTACCAAACATTCAAGGAAGAACTAAAACCTATCCTCCTCAGACTACTACAAAAAATCCAAGAGGAAGGAACACTTCCAAGCTCATTCTATGAAGCCAGCATCACCCTAATACCAAAACCAGGTAAAGACAACACAATGAAAGAGAATTACAGGCCAATATCCCTCATGAACATAGATGCCAAAATCCTCAACAAAATCTTAGCAAATCGGATCCAGCAGTACATCAGAAAGATCATACACCATGACCAAGTAGGATTTATCCCAGGGATGCAAGGATGGTACAATATCCGCAAATCAATCAACGTGATACATCACATAAACAAATTGAAAGAAAAAAACCACATGGTCATATCAATTGATGCAGAAAAAGCATTTGACAAAATTCAACACCCATTTTTGATAAAAACTCTCAGCAAGGTGGGAATAGAAGGATCATACCTCAACATAATAAAAGCCATATATGACAGGCCCACAGCCAACATCATACTCAATGGACAAAAACTAACACCATTTCCCCTAAGAACAGGAACAAGACAGGGATGCCCACTCTCACCACTCCTGTTCGACATAGTACTGGAAGTATTAGCCATTGCAATTAGACAAGAAGAAGAAATAAAAGGCATCCAAATTGGAAAAGAGGAAGTAAAACTGTCCTTATTTGCAGATGACATGATATTATACTTAAAAAACCCTAAAGACTCCATCAAAAAACTATTAGACTTAATAAAAGAATTCGGCAATGTAGCAGGATACAGAATTAACGCCAAGAAATCTATGGCATTTCTATACACCAATAGTGAACTTGCAGAAAGAGAGACTAAAAAAGCAATCCCATTTACCATCTCACCAAAAAAATTAAGCTACCTAGGAATAAACTTAACTAAAGAGGTAAAAGACCTCTACTCAGAAAACTACAGGACGTTGAAAAAAGAGATAGAGGAAGACATAAAGAGATGGAAGAACATACCATGTTCTTGGATTGGTAGAATCAACATCATTAAAATGTCCATACTACCCAAAGCAATCTATAAATTCAACGCACTTCCTATTAAAATACCAATGGCCTACTTCAAAGATCTAGAACGAACTCTCCAAAAATTCATCTGGAACAAAAAACGACCCCGAATAGCTGCAGCGATCCTGAGAAAGAACAAAGTAGGTGGGATCTCAATGCCGGATATCAAGCTGTATTACAAAGCCACTGTTCTCAAAACTGCCTGGTACTGGCACAAGAACAGGCATATAGATCAATGGAATAGAATAGAGAACCCAGAAATCGGCCCGAACCAATATGCTCAATTAATATTTGACAAAGGAGGCAAGAACATACAATGGAGCCAAGATAGTCTCTTCAATAAGTGGTGTTGGGAAAATTGGACAGATATATGCAAGAAAATGAAACTAGACCACCAACTTACACCATACACAAGAATAAACTCAAAATGGATAAAGGACTTAAATGTACGACAGGAAACCATAAAAATTCTAGAAGAATCCAAAGGCAACAAAATCTCAGACATATGCCAAAGCAATTTCTTCACTGATACAGCTCCTAGGGCAGTTGAAACTAAAGAGAAAATGAACAAATGGGACTACATCAAAATAAAAAGTTTCTGCACAGCAAAAGAAACCATCAACAAAACAACAAGAAAGCCCACTACATGGGAGAACATATTTGCCAACATTATATCTGATAAGGGCCTAATCTCCAACATTTATAGGGAACTCATACAACTTAACAAAAGGAAGATAAACAATCCAATCAAAAAATGGGCAAAGGACCTAAATAGACACCTTTTAAAAGAGGACATTCAGAAAGCCAAGAGACATATGAAAACATGCTCAAAGTCGCTAATCATCCGAGAGATGCAAATCAAAACAACAATGAGGTACCATCTCACACCTGTCAGACTGGCTATCATCAACAAATCAACAAACGACAAGTGCTGGAGAGGATGTGGAGAAAAAGGAACACTTGTGCACTGCTGGTGGGAATGCAGACTGGTGCAGCCACTATGGAAGACAGTATGGAGTTTCCTCAAAAAACAAAACATGGAACTCCCATTTGACCCTGTGATCCCACTTCTAGGAATATATCCCAAGAAACCAGAAACACCAATCAGAAAGGATCTATGCACCCCTATGTTCATAGCAGCACAATTCACCATAGCTAAGATTTGGAAACAGCCTAAGTGCCCATCAGTAGATGAATGGATTAGAAAACTGTGGTACATCTACACGATGGAATACTATGCTGCTGTAAAAAAGAAGGAACTCTTACCATTTGCAACAGCATGGATGGAACTGGAGAGCATTATGCTAAGTGAAATAAGCCAGTCAATGAAGGAAAAATACCACATGATCTCACTCATTTATGGATAATAAAGACCATTATAAACTTATGAACAAAAATAGATACAGAGGCAGAGCAGCCTCGAACAGACTGTCAAACTACAGCGGGAAAGCCGGGGAGGGTTGGCGGGGGGAGGGGGGGTAAGAGATCAACCGAAGGACTCGTATGCATGCGTATAAGCATAACCAATGGACACAAGACACTGGGGGGTAGGGGAGGCCGGGGGAAGGTCAACGGGAAAAAAAAGGAGACAAATGTACTACTCGTTGTAATATTTTAAGCAATTTACAAAAAGAACTGAAAAAAATAAAAACAATGCTGTATGAAAGAAAAAAGAATGTCATTTTTGTTTTAGGCACAACTTCAGAGGTGTCAAAAGAAAAATAATCCCGATACAGGCCTGCCTCTCTCCGCAGATGTGGCTGCATGGCGCCGTCTGAGACCGGCCCGAGCCCTTGACCTTTTCAATAGATGGACAAAAAATATATTTTTTTCCCCTTGACCTTCCCCCAGCCTCCCTTACCCCCTTACCTCCTTTGGAACTCCCTTAAGAAAACCGTCTTCGTCTTTGGGCGAGTCTCTTAATCTCCTTGGGAACGCTAAAGGCGGTGTCTTCCCGGAGGCCTCGCCCCGGTGACCTCAGAATACACTTCCGGTGACGCTAACGTGACCTGTAGCCCCGCCCTCTCCCGTCTCTCTTTCCGGTGGCAGAGTCTGGACGAGACATGCAGAAATGACACCTTGCAAGGGAAAGGAAAAGAAGGAAGAACAGGTCATCAGCCTCGGACCTCAGGTGGCTGAAGGAGAAAATGTATTTGGTGTCTGCCACATCTATGCATCCTTCAATGACACTTTCGTACATGTCACTGATGTTTCTGGCAAGGATATCATCTGCCGTGTGACTGGTGGGATGAAGGTGAAGGCTGACCGAGATGAATCCTCTCCATATGCAGCCATGTTGGCTGCCCAGGATGTGGCCCAGAGGTGCAAGGAGCTGGGCATCACTGCTCTTCACATCAAACTCCGGGCCACAGGAGGAAATAGGACCAAGACCCCTGGACCAGGGGCCCAGTCAGCTCTAAGAGCCCTTGACCGCTCGGGAATGAAGATCGGACGGATTGAGGATGTCACTCCCATCCCCTCCGACAGCACCTCAGAAAGGGGGGTTGCCGTGGTTGCCGTCAGTGAACAGGACTCCTCAAATTATTTTCTGTTAATAAATTGCCTTTGTGTCCGAAAAAAAAAAAAGAAAAGGGATCCCAAAGTTGGAAATAAGGAAAAAAAGGACACCATGTCACATTGGGAGGTATTTAAAAGGCCACCAAGGATCATAAGATTATCCAAGGAAAAGTACCTTTCGTTTGACACATTGTTTACTATTGGCAAAGCCTGGACTCTGTGAAGTTACCCGTTGATTTGTAGATTTGTGTCTGGTAGAAAAGATAAACCCAAAGATTATGGTTTCACTGCCCTGTGGAACATTAACCAGTTGTGTACTTAACCTAGCAATTTTGTACATTTTCTTTTACCAATTTCTATAAATACCCAGGTCCCCATATGCCCTTGTGGCCAACTTTACCATTCTGCTATCTCCCCTATCAATGAATTGAGTATCAGTTGATGTGTGTTCATTTTTTTTATATTTGTTTGAGTCATCTTGTAACTATTTTAAAATTACTTTTTGACAATGGAATGTAATCTCTTGTTTACTGAGTAAAATTTCTCATAACTTTTAAAAAAATAGTTAATCTGCATTATTAACAGGTTGATAGTTAATCTGCATTATTAACCGATTAATAGTTAATCCACATCATTAACTGGTTGATAATTAATCCACTTTATTAGCCATAATAATGTGGATTTTGTAATAAAAGAAAACATAATAATCTCAAGAGAAACATCAAAAGTAATGATCATCGCTAGCTATACATTTTCCCCATCTTTCAGGTAATTTGTGAATACCGTCCCAAAAGAACTTTTCTTGTTTTGAGGCAAATTCAGTGACGACCCAATTTTCCACTTCTTATGTTTTGAAGTGCTGCTCAGAAAGTGTGTGTGCCATCAATCAGAACAAGTGGTAATCTGAAGGAGCAATACAAGAAAATAGTATACATATCAAATCACATATATATCAACATAGTAACTCCATCTATTGAAAAAAATCTGCATTATTAACCAGTACATTAGTAAATTTCTGATTAGTCTGCTCCCAAAATGTAAATGACCTTTCAACATAATAATAAATGTTTATTGTAAGAAATTTAGGCATTAACCTAGTATATAAAGAAGAAAGAAGATACAGAGTTTCAGTTTGCAGCATGAAAAATGTTCTGGATAGATGGTAGTGATAGTTGGATAGCAATGCAAATGTACTTAATGCCAATCAACTCTACACTTAAAAGGGGGGGATATATGGTGATGGAAGGAGACGACTTGGGCTGGTGAACACACAATACAATATACAGATGATGTATTATAGAATTGTACCCATGAAACCTATACAATTTTATTAACTAACTAGAGGCATGCAATGGGGTGGGGGGTTGTCCCTCAGCCTGGCCTGCACCCTCTTCAATCTGGGACCCCTCAGGGGATGTCTGACTGCCTGTCAGAATCCAATCACTGGTTCCTAACCACTTGCCTGCCTGCCTGCCTGCCTGCCTGCCTGCCTGCCTGATCACCCCTAACTTCGCCCCTGCTGGCCTGATCGCCTTTAACTGCCTCTGCCTCATCCAGCACGTGGGACCCAGGATTCCCTCCCTCTGGCTGGCCGCAGGCACCCAGGTCCTGGGCTGGCTTTGCCCAGGCCAGCGACAGCCGAAGGGGACCGCGGGCGGGCAGCTTGTCCCTCTCCCAGGCCAGGCCGCAGGCACAGGTGCAGCTACTGGCACCAGCGATCATCAAACTCCGGGCCACAGCCTGGCTGGTCCCCATTCCTCTCTTGCGAGCTCATTTGTGCCTGGCTGGTCCCCATTCCTCTCTCCCCAGTGTTGAGTGTCTGAGCCGTTACAGTTACAGCGTGACTGGTGAGAGGGTGTGATGACCATTTGCATATTAGCTCTTTATTATATAGGATGTCACCCCAATAAATTCAAATAAAAAAACTCTACATTTAAAAATGGATTAAGTGGTAAATTTTATGCTATGTATAGTTTATGCACAATTTTTAAAATAAACAATTTTTAAAACAAAAAGAAGAAAGGAGATATCACTCTCTATTCCCACTGCTTAAGTTAGCATATAGAATCCATTATTAATATATTCATTCAACAGATATTTATTGAATGCCTGCTATATGCCAAGCACATGTCTAGTGTGAACATTTGTGAACAAAACAACATCCTTCTCCTTGTGGAGATTACTTCTAATGGGGGAGAAAGAAAATAAACAAATGGTGCTCACTTCGGCAGCACATATACTAAAATTGAAACAATACAGAGAAGATTAGCATGGCCCCTGCGCAAGGATGACATGCAAATTCGTGAAGCATTCCATATTTTTTTAAAAAAACAAAAACAAAAAAAGGAAAATAAACAAATGAACAGGGAAGGGTGTACATGGGCAAGCAGAAGTAGGTTTACAGTTGTGAGTATGCAAAAGAGTTTATTCTTTATATTATTATTTATCAATTATTGTATTATTTATTTGTATTATTTCCATATGAACCACTGTAAACCTACTTACTCCAACTCTGTATTATGTCAGATGATGACAAATCAGATAGAGAAAAATAAGGCAGAGAAGAGAGATTATGAGTGATAGGGGAGGTTGTAATTTTAACAAGGAAGGCCTCACTGATAGTGACATATGAGCAGAGACCAGGCAGAAATAAGGGAGTGAGTCATGCATATATCGGAAAGAAAAGTGTTCTAGGCAGGAGGAATAATCAGGCTAAAGTCCCAAGGCAGAAATAGGTTTGGCATGTGCAAGGAACCACAAAAAAAAAAAAAAAAAAAAAAAAGCGTTGCTGAAATGTAATAAATCAGGGAAGCGGAGTAAGAAAAAGGTCAGCCAGACCAGTGTTACTCAGTGGTTGGGCCTCAACCTTTGAACCAGGAGATCATAGTTCAATTCCCGGTCAGGGCACATGCAGGGGTTGTGGACTCCATCCCCAGTAGCGGGTGTGCACAAGGCAGCCAATCAATGATTCTCTGTCATCATTGATGTTTCCATCTCTCTCTCCCACTCCCTTCCTCTCTGTAATCAATAAAAATATATTTTTTAAAAAAGAAAGAAGATCAGAGAGGTAAAGAGGAGCACAGATCAAGTAGGTCTCTGAAGGCCATAGAAAGGACTTTGGACTTTACTCTGAATAAGGATGGAAATTATTGGAGAGTTTTAGTTTTAAGCAGAGGAGAGACCTGATGTGACTTCAGTTTAAAATGATCACTTTGGCTGCTGTATTGAGATTAAACTGAAAGAGGGCAAGGCTGGAAGCAGGGAGAAAAATTAGCAGGCTATTGCAATAATACAGGTGGAAAATTATGGTGGCAATGAAGATGGTGAGAAGTGCTCAGTCTCTGTACATATGTGGAAGTAGAGACAATAGCATTTGCTGAGGGACTGGATATGAGCAGGGGTAGATCTGGACTTTGTGTAGCCTGAAACTTATACAACTTGGGGTGTTCTCTGTTAAGAAAAAGGACACAGCCCAGTCTGAGTGGCTCAGTGGTTGAGCATCAACCTATGAACCAGGAGGTCGTGGCTCAATTCCAGTTCAGGGTACATGCCTGGATTTGGAGCTCAGTCCCCAGTAGGAGGCATGCAGGAGGCAGCTGATCAATGATTTTCTCTCATCATTGATGTTTCTCTCTCCCTCTTCCTCTCTGAAATCAATAAAAATATTTTTTAAAAAGAAAAGGGATACAAAATTAGATGCAAATGTGAAAATTTAAAATGAGAAAAGAAATCACAATATAGTTTTTAAATATTTATTTTTCAAATACAGTTTACATTCACTATTATTTTGTATTAGTTTCAGGTGTACAGCATGGTGGTTAGACAATCATATACTTTACAAAGTGTTTCCCCTGATATTTTCAGTACCCATCTGACACCGTACATGGTTATTACAATATTATTAATTATATTTAT